TCAAGGACCTGAGTTCAATCCCTGGTACCAGAAAAATAAATAAATAAATAAATATTATTTTTTCCAGAATTATACTTTTGGGACTTTAATCTTTTGTGATTTTAAGCTTTAGGAGTTTTGATCTTTCGGGATTTGGGCCCAAACCTAGTTCGTATATATAATATACTGATGCATAAAAACTGTTTTCAAAAACTTTCTTGAAGCTTTCAGAACGTGTTTTTCTTGCTGTACTTAGAGCTTGGGTTTTATTAACACGGAGGTAAACGGTACAATGAGTGATCAAAATGTATAGTGAATTTTAAAATTTAAAATATTTATTACAGTAAAAGACACATTGCCATTCATCCGCCTAAAACACTCCCCCTTGCTTCATCACATTTATCCAACCATTCTTGCCACTTTCTGAAGCCATTCCGCAAGTCCTCTCTGGTGGCTTTTGTTGATATCGTCAGTGGTGGGGCCAAGTGCCATCCCCTGGGAAGGTGGGCTTGAAAATCCATTAGTGTCTACTCAGCAGCCTTATTCACTGGATACGGCACCATGTGACTCCAGGCATTTTCACAAAGTCAAAGTTGTTTCCTACGCAAGGTAAGCAGTTTGAATCAGTTCAGGTCATAGAGGCAGCCACAATAGGACGACTAAAGACATTCACCACAAGAGACTTTGGGAACTCTTCAGAAAGTAGCAAGAGCAATGGAAGAAGTGTGTTCAAAGTGAGAGGGAGCATTTCGAGGGTTGTTAATGTCGATATGTCTTTTCCTGCAATAATTTTTAAAAATATAAGCATCCACTGTATTTTAAAATCACATAAGAAACTCAGTTTAACAACATCTAATCACTTTATACTACAAAGCAATTTAGTTAGTACCATAAAATAGAGTCTCTATCCCTGGTTCTTAGAAATCCAAGTCTCACCAAAAGACCATGAAAATCTCTCTGCTATTGCTAATGATGTCTTCAGAAAGCCATTAAGCATGCTGCCAAACCAAAACATCAAGGCTTCCAGGAGAAGAAAGGCAAGTCCCAGGGAAACAGGCTGATGTCACAGCCTCCAGAAGCTGGGGTCACCTTCTCAGTGCCTCAGTCAGAGGCAGATGAATCGATAACCAACAGAATCATTGCAGTGGCACAAGGGATAAGGATGTCCCATTCCAGTCAGGACCAAGTGCTATAAATGTGAACTTTGGCCAGTGGATAGTTAATTAGGCATCACTTGCTTTTATCTCCCAAAGTCGGTGAGCATCAAAGTTTGTAATTTGTGTGACAGATGATTGAGTGTTTATGTTATCACATTACCACCAATGTTCTTTTTTCAAACACCAGTTTACAAAATATATTTTATAAAGCATGGTCACTTGAGGTGGAATAAAATCCAAACTCACACCAAGATCTGTGAGATCTCATGTGATCTGATTCCTGGTTAAATCTGCTTCTTAAAATGCTGTGTCCTACCACACAGATCCAAGGAAGACAAGTTCATTTTTTTTTCAGGGCCCCGTTGTTGCTGTTTACTCTGCTTGAAACATTTTTCAAGTAAGTTGTTGCATAATTATCCAAAATTACCTTCTTATCCCACTGTACACATTATTTTTTCAATTAGCCTTATTTATTTATTTGGTAACAGGGATCGAACTCAGGACCTTACACTTACAAGGTAGGTAGCAGAACCACTGTGCTAAATCCCTGGCCACAGTATACCCTATTTTTGAATCCATCAAAAACTTTCTGTCTTTTTCAGGAAAATGTGGCTTTAATTCATTAAAAACTCCTAGAATTTCATTAGCTGGAAGAAATGACAAATGCAGAAAAATGACAAATTTTTAAATTCAGGTTTTTGTTAAAGTATTACATATCTAATCCCTTTCTTAGAATTTGGACTTCTTGTGAGTAGGTGATTTTTTTGTTTTGTTTTGTTTTGTTTTTTTTAATGGTAATCATGGTTTAGGGGATTCTTTACTTTTAGCATTTTGTCATTTGAGATTTTAATCTTTCAGGATTGTGATTTTGGGGATATTAATCTTTAGGGATTTTAGATTTTATGGATTTTGATCTTTTAGGATTTCAACATTTGAGATTAAAGCACTTGGAACTATGTGTTTTGCGATTATGATTGGTACTTATATGACTCACTTATGGGACAAATTTTCTTCAGAAACTGGGGGTGGGGTAATTGGAGTATGTTAGCTATTGTTATTATTATTTATTTATTTATTTATTGTGGCACTGGGAACTGAATTCGGGTCCTTGTGCTTGCAAGGCAGGCAGTGGAACCACTAAGCTAAATCCCCCACCCAGTTGTTATGTTTTTTAGACCAAAGTCTTATGTATTCAGAAAGTGGGCTTTTGGAAAGTGATTGAATGATACGGACACTAGGTTCCCATGCTGTTAGAATATGTGGCCTGGTTGGAAGAGGCAGGGGTGTGGCCTGGAAAGCTCCATTCTTGTCCCCAGGTCTTTTCTTTCCCTCTGTGTTTCTTGGCTGGGGTGAATTGAATGGTTTCCTTCTGTCCACATACTCTAACATTAACTTTTTTAATAAGAACAATGCACTACTTAATATTTACTTAGGTTTCTTATATTCTACTACTGTACTAAGTGCATTAACTCATTCAATGGGGAGGCTAGACAAAAATAAAGAAGTAAATATATTAGAGATAATAATTGTAAAGAAACATAAAGTAGGGCAAAGAGATTAGGATAGCCTGTGATGTTTGCTCTAACCCCCAGGGGCTAGACTTTGCAAATGAAATTGAGTTGAGACTTGTGTGGGCAGATCCAGTGCAATCTCCAATTTCCTTGTCAGAGGGAGAGAGAGAAAACCCAAAGCCAGAGAAGGACAGATGGTGTTAGGATGGTTGCTGAGAGAAGATGGTAAACTAGTGGTTTGGAAGAGGGAAGAAGAGGCCACAAGCCAGGAAATACGGGCAACCTCTAGGAGATGGGTGAAGCAGGAGATGAATTCTTCCCTAGTCTCCAGAAGGAATGTAGGTTTACCGACACCTTTATTTTAGTCTGGGGAAACTGGTTTTGGATTTTTGACCTTCAGCAATGTAAGATAATACATTTGTCTTCTTAGAAGCCGTGGAGTTGTGGTAATTTTGTTCTAAGAGTAGTAGGAAATACACACTATGTTACAGGATGGCAGATTATGGAGGGTGCTCAGTAAGAAATAGCCTCTTGAAGTGGCCCTTAAGCAGAAAATGAAAAAGTGAAGATCTGTTTGGCTGTGAGGGTGGGGATTCTAGCAAAGAGAACAGTAGGGCCAATGCTCCGAGAAAGGATCAAGCTCAGTGTATCTGAAGATTTGTGTGGGTGAGCAACGGGGAAAAGGGTCAGCAAAGGAGACGTCATCAGAGATCAGATCATGCAGAATCTTGTGCCCTGCTGAGCATTTTGAGTGTATTCCAAGAGGGAAGGGAAGTTACTGGAAGGTTATGGTCAGGGAGTTGTATACTCTCGTTACCACACAGGAGCGGTGTAACTGCTAGATGGAAAACAGCAGTGGACTGGAAGTATCTGTACAGCCAAGGAGAAAGCACAGAGAAGGACACTGTTCGCTGAGAGGTGCTGAGGCCCAGAGAGAATGAGAGAAGGCTGAGAGGTGTCTTGGAGCATTTTAGAGCCACAGTGGGCAGAATGTGCCCTTGGGTTAGATATGAGATTTGAGACAAAGAGACAAGGATGATGCTAACGATTTTGATGATTTGATCTGAAATGTTTGGGGGGAACATGTTTGTGATGGAAACATCATCACGTTTCTGGTGCTTATTGGACAGCTGGAGGTGTTGGGAGGGAGGGAGTTGAGCATCACACCCAAGAGTGACTGGGGCTGACAACAACCCTTGTGGAGCCCTGAGCATCATGAGGTGTGATCGAAATTTACAGTGAATGGTTAAATACACATTTTATTACAGCAAAAGGCATATTGCCACCCTCAAACTACTCCTTCTCCCCGTGAACACAGCTATCCCATCATTCTTGTGACTTTCTGAAACAGTTCTGAAAGTTCTCTTTCATGAGTATCTTTGCAAAGTGTGGCGAAGAAATACAGGGGATGCTGCTGCCTAGGGTGCTCGGGGGACAGGCTGGGCCCTAAACTTATTATGGTGCATCCTCTTCCACCCTGCTCAACAGGTCTGGTGCCAGGCAGCTTCTGCCTCTTCCTCAAACCCCAAATGACCATGAGAGTCAACTGTTCTAAATTAATTCAGGACACTGAAGTATTCATGACAGTGGAGCTACAGATACTCAAAAAGAGGGATTCTGAACAGCTTCCAAAAGTGGCAAGAACCATGGGATAAACGTGAGGAGGAAAAATGGCAAAGTGTGATTTACTGTAATTAATTTAAAAATTTAAAAACATTTTTCCTACTTTTCAATCATACTGCACTTATAAAGTGTGGATCTGGCTGTGTGTGTGTGTGTGTGTGTGTGTGTGTGTGTGTGTAAATCCTGAAGACCTCACTCCGGGGCACTGCAATCTTTAGAGTTGTGCGTGAGGACAGGTTATCAAAGCAAAAATCCTTGCTACTTGCTGCTTCTTGCTTTCCTCCTACTTACTATTCCTGCTCCGAGACACTTCAATGTTTTTGACTCCTGGCCAGACTGAAGCTTGAAAACAGCGACATTTCCCTTTGCGAAGGTCCTGAAAACGTAGCCATAGCCTTGACCTACTTTCTCTGTCTCTCAGGGAGCTTTTAAAATGCCCAAGCCAGCGCTCCACTCCTGTGGATGGCCCCGGGCATCTCTGCCTGCAAGATGCAGACTCCAGGAGTGCCAGTCATCCTGCCCCACCGAGCCTCTGCCACCAGTGACCGCGGAGTGAGCCACCTGAAGCCTGCGCGGGGCTTAGCAGCCGCTGTATTTCTGCTCCAAGAAGCAGCTCACTGCCGTCAAATGGAGCAAAAGCTTTCCCTGGAAGCCTGGGTGCTTGCTTTCAGAGCAGGAACCAGTATAGAAACCTTGCTCAACTACACAGAAGCATGTTACGTTTGAAAGGGATTTGGAGAGGCCTACAAACCCTCTGAGCAGACAGCCTGGAGAACGTCTGCTGGTCAGCTTCTCTTTCTGACTTGAGTGTGGGGTAGGGAGAGGGGGTGAAATGCCTACATATTTGATGGATTGTGGGCCTAGCTTCACAGTTATGAATTTAACTCACTCTTTAACTCCTGTTTTTTTCCTCAGAATTATAATGACCTTGTTTAAAAAAAAAAGTCCCATGCTTTAACCTCCCAGTCTGCTCCTTCGCAAATTGTCAGCTCCCGGTGTTAAATCACTCAGAGCACGATATTCTCGGTCTGAGCTAAACACCAGAGTCACCTGCGAAGCTTAAGCCTATCCTGACGTTTGAGTCCCACCCCCATAGTTTCCGAGCTAATTGTCTACCAGTGTGGCCAGGACAAATTGGATTTTAAAAAGCTCCCCAGGTAACTCTAATATGCAGCCACAACTGAAAACCACGGGTCTCTAGCCTTGTGCTTTCCAAATTAACAGCTGATTTCAGGAATGTCTGGGGCTTTTTCTCCAAAAGACTTTACTTGATAGCGGTGGCCGTTTGGGGAACAAGTGCTTCTGCTCGTTATCTCCCCAGGAATGCCAGATCCCGGCAAAGGCGACAATGCACGAAGCCACTTTGATTTAATACTAAAAGCAGCCCCTGCAAACCTGCGGATGAAACCACAGGTGTGGCTAGGTGAGCCCCACTCCACTCCAGCAGTGTGAAGATCGCGCCCCAGGAGACGAGGCGGGCGCCCGTTAGCCTTTTAGAAATGCTGTATGCGGGGGCCCTCTGCAGAGCTTTTCGGTAAGAATCTGCCTTTTCCCCAGTCGCCCGGAGGATGCACACCCGAAGTTTGCAGCACGCCGGTTGGACTCCGTGACCACAGCGAGGACTTCTGAAAAGCCCGAGCCCCGCGGGTCCCGGGAGGCCCCGCCCCAGGCTCGGCGGGGA